TTGACGACCCTTGTAGCCCCCTTAGCTAAAGTGCAGAAAGGGACCTCTCCCTACCTGTCACTCCCTCAAGGGCTCCACTCTTGATTCTGTTCCATTTTGATTTTGGCTACACCACAGCTGTATGAAATCCGGGACTTTGTGTTCACCTCTCAACATTAAAAACAGCACTTGTTACCTAGGAAGCACTCAATAATTATTGAATGACTAATTGAATGGGCAGAGAACTCTGGAAGCTGAAGTGAAATGGTCATTCTTTTGCTATTTTTCAGTGGAGAACAGCACCAGTGGGAGGTAGAACTGGTAGAGCTCATGCTATGAAGGAGCTGTCTGGGGCCAGTTAGCACTTTAAAGACACTGGGTTAATCAAGGGCCGAGAGTTTACAAAATAAATAGAAAGCTGGTTAGGGGCATAACCACAAAAAAGGGGGACAGTCCCTGAGAAAATAATTACCAGAAAGAAGTGCAAATCACGGCATTGTGAACTTAGCCTGTCCCTTTGTATTTTCTGTGTCTTGACTATACGCATCCCACAGCTGTGTGGCTATTTGCTGTTTCATGGACAGTTTGTCCCTTGAGGTCCAGGACTAGGTTTCACGCTTTGGGCCAACCTGTGGACTTGACCTGAGTGAGGCTGGCATTCAAGCACTGTTGTTGGATTGTAAGCTAATTGCTGGTCCGTGGAGGGCCAAGTCCAGAAGCAATAGTTACGTTGAAGGGCAGGGCAGATGGCACCCAGTGTTGTGTCTGCACTGGGATGAGATAAAGGGCCTGATCCATCTAGGAGGAATCCCAGACAGCAGTGTGTCCAGACCTCAGGCCACAAGGTTAAGGAGATAGCATAGATCTCACTACAGCATGTAGTGAGAGGAAGGACACTCACCTTGAACTCCTGACTCTTAAATCCTGTCCACATTTGCTCATTTGTGTGGTTTTCTTATACTTTTACAGAATAACTTGGATACGTGGTAACACATTAACCTCAGTTTTAAGCATCATGATATAGTGAATACTCTTAATCTTATTGTTCTGAGACCTGGACAATATAAATGTATCATCCCCTGTGGTTTCTCTTGTAATTTCTCTTTTTGTTTTTGTACTTCATTCATCACTCCCTTGACTTGACTTAAAGAATAAGAATAAAAGAAAACAGGGCTGGTGAGATACCTCAGTGAACTAAGCACCTGCTTAGGCAAGTACAGGGACGAGGTTCGATCCCCAGTACCACATGCCACGCCAGCCCCACACTGAGCCAGCAACTGAGTCTGGGCATGGTGGCACACGCCTGTGATCCCAACAGTGGAGAGGCTGGAAACAGGAGTATCACTGCGAGTCTGAGCTTCATAGTGAGACCCTATACCAAATACATAAAAATAAAAAAAAAAAATTAAAAAGAAAAAACTATACAGCACCACCAAATACACACACAGAGCTGAAAGTGTGGCTTAGTGGTGGAGTACTTGCCAAGCAGACGAGAGGTCCTGAGTTTGATCCCAAGTGTTGCAAAAAAATAAACAGCATAATATGTTTGTGCATATGTATGCTGATGTCTAAATCACAGAAAGTTCACTTAGCTGGTTTCTGAGCCTTTGTAAAGTGGCATTAAACCGGGATAGTCCCTCGGGAGCACCCCCCTCAATCGCGTTGCTTCTGGGGTCACTTGTGTCACTGCCTATAGCCATGGGTCATCCTTGTTTTCTTCATTCTCCTCCTGCTGTTTCCTGCTTGGACCCCTCAGGGCTTGGGATGGCTCCCAAGCGAATGGCTCCAGTTAGCTCTAATTTTAACTTTTTACAAGCTGTCAGTAAGCTTTCCCATGCCACTTCGCTTATGGGAAGCATTTAGTCATTTCCTAATTTAATGATAGTTAACATCCTTAGCCCTAGAAATTTATTGTGAAGCATTTCCAATTAAGGTTAATTGGGGTGGATGTGGGATAGGAGTTAGATGGTTTTGCAAAAGTGTTTTGGTGCTACTGGCGAGGTACAGTCCAGTTGACAGGAGGAAGCCACAGTGCCCTGGTCACCCACCCCAGGGAGGGTCTGTGAGGATAGGAGCCACACCTCAGGGTCAGGGGAGAGGTGCAGAGAGGCTCCACAGAGGGTCCAAAGAAGAATTCTTCACCTTGACCTTCTCTGGTCAAGGTATGTCTTTTCTTTCCTGAGTCACACTGCTCAATTTCTAGTTAATCCCTTCTGAGTCCCAGTATGTTATAGTTTCAGATGATCCAGGCTTACTTATATCATAAGTTTGTTTTTGAATTCAGAAGACGATTGTTGATGTCTAGTTATTCTGGGTGTGGTTTTTCTTTTTTCTTTTTCTGCGGAACCAGGGATTGAACTCAGGCCCTTGCGCTTGCCATGGAAGCACTTATTCCACTGAGCCATCTTCCCAGCCCCTGCCTAGTTATTCTGAAAAAAGCAGGTTTTAGGGCTTATGAGTGGTATTTGAATTAGAATTATTATTTTTTTAATAAATGACTTTTTTAAAATTTTTTTTTTAATGTGTGTGTGTGTGTGTGTGTGTGGCCAGCTCAGCCCACCAGGGGGCGGGGCTGGCTGGCATGTGATGCTGGGGGATTGAACTGTGGTCCCTGTGCTTTGCTAAGCTTGTTCTAAGTAGGTGCTTTAGACCACCGAGCCATCTCACCAGCCCCTTGTATTAGAATTATACACACAGCATTTCCCCTCCTGTGCAGTTTTCTGGAGGGGTCCTGGGCTTGGACTGGATTCGAGAAGCCAGCAGTCCCTCCCCCAGTGTTTATTTTTATCCCAGGGATTTTCAGCCTTGACTGTTAAAGTTTCAGGCCAGGTGATTCTTTATGATGAGGAGGCTGCACTTGGCCTCGCTGAGTCTCCAGAGGCATCCCTGGCCACAGTCACGAAATGCTGGCATCTTCCTCTTCTCCAGTGTGACATCTAAAATGTCTCTGAACTTCGCCAGATGTCTGTGCACGGGGGCTGGTTGGAGGTGCACATGCTTATGAGAGTGACCCCCCAGTTGAGAAACGAGTTACAACTTGTACTAAGTTTTGCTTAAATCATGAAGGGTTTTCATTCTTTTTTGTGGTACTGAGAATCCACTCAGGACCTTACACTTGCCAGGTAGATGCTGTACGCCTGAGCTGTATCCCCAGGGTTTGCACTCTCGCACAGCCAAGAGAGCACAGAGCTATTTGTAGAGCGTTTGCACACTTAGCTCCAGTTTAAGGCACTGGCGGAGGGATCGGGGTTGGATTTAGAGTGTGTATATGGTGGGGGAGGGTGTCGTAAAATATTTATGTTTAAATTATTCTTAAATGTTTAAATTATTCTTAAATATTTAGGACCTATGTGTGTATTTATGCATGATCCCCAATCATTAAACACATCCTACTATGTATTGTCACACTAACACATGTTCTATGTGTATTAGCTAAATCATCCTAATGCTCTGAAAGAGTTATCCAGAGAACTGCTACATTCTGTGGGTAGTGGCTGGTACAGGATAAGGAAGTTTGTTCAGGGTATGTTAATAATGGCAGACCAGAGAATTGACTAGACTTGCCAGAGTCCAGGCAGGTCATGTGTGCTGCGCCCCGGACTCAGTGCTGAAATCTCTTCCGTACCAGCCATGCCGCCGTGGCCTCGGCTGTCGTGCTGGCAGAGTGACCTATGGTTGCTGGAGTGTTTCATACAGCAAGAGACCTGAGAGGGCTTTTCTTTCCTCCTTTTTTCTTTGCTTTGGAATAAATAGTTTGTCTTGTGCCCTAAAATAAAATTACTGGTAACATTTTGAGCAAGGGACAACCTTTTAGTTTTAACCAGCTGCTTATAGGTGCCACAGCAGTATCTCAGCATCAAGTTCCACTCCAGTCCTCATTGTGGTCCGCCTTTGGTGGCTATAAAGTGAGTCCTTGACCAACGGCCTGCTCCTCGTTAATAATCTGGGGTGCAGATGCTGATATGCAAAGGTGGCCTTGCACTGCAACCAGATGTGGCATTTTGAAGATTATTTTGTATACTTTACACTCTTTCACTTGTTGAGTGGCTTTCAGAAGTCCAGAGCACAGCAGGTCCCACACACGAATCAGACGCGCTTTCTGCTCGGTCGTGCTGGAGCTCTACTGCCCTCCTGCGCACGGGGCTGTGCTACCTGGCAGCTCAGCATCTGTCTCTTGTGGCTCCTCCTGAAGCGCAGCCTTTTGTGCTGCAGCCTGCCGTGTGGCCATTGCTCTGTGCTTGGCCAGTCTTGCCCAGACTCAGTCCCTCTGTCTCTCCTTCCTGCCCTCCTTTTTTGTTATTTTGTTCGCGCTTACGATGACTGACACCTAGTGGGTCTCTTGATAGTGTTTTAGCACAAATACTAAATGAGGATGTTGTGAGATGCATTGTGCATTGCTGGAACAAGGTGCTCAGTAAACGAGAATACTGTTTATGCCCCCAGTCCCCCGAGTTTGGAGAGAGCAAGCTCTTGTCTGCAGTGTATTTCAGTTTTCATTCCAGTTTGTATAAGATTTCACTGAACAGGCAAAGCGCTTGTCACCTTGGTGTGCATCCCACCAGTGATTCTTTGTCTGCTCGCCTTCTTCCTTGATCTGGAACTAACTCATCAAGCACCCTGGCCTGGTGATGTTGCCTGACGGTTTCATCCAGGTGACAGCGATGCAGCACTTAGCTACTATGTGCACCCGCTCTCCATAGCACAAGCTCGCGCTGGACATAGCCCGGCTGCTGGGCCTGTGCTGAGGGGAGGAGAGCCAAGGGCCCCACTGAACTCCACGGCCTGCTCCCACCTCCCTGTGGAACTTGTGCAAAGCGGGTGCCCTGGAGGGGGATTGGCACCCTCTGCAGAGTCACCTCAGGCTGCAGGCTCTTGCCGAACTTGTTGGGCGCATTCCTGGGCTGTGTTTCTGCGTTGTTTGGGTCTTAGACTCCTCCGAGGCAAGCAGCACCTGGAAGAATGCTTTTGAGGAGTCTTGATATTGGCCAAGAAAACTTAACGTGCCTTCTTTCTCCCCTCAGAGTGACCAGCAGCTGGACTGTGCCTTGGACCTAATGAGGCGCCTGCCTCCACAGCAAATCGAGAAGAACCTCAGCGACCTGATCGACCTGGTACGTGCCTCTTCCTGTGATTTCATTTGAGGCCATGACACGTAATTGCTTGGTTGTGTGTAGCGCTTCCCATGCAGAATTCAGAGTACAGGAAACCTTTTCTTTCCCAGCCAGACAGCACCACTGGGCTCAGAGATTGCTCTGGACAGAGGGATGAGTTCCACGTGGTGCTCTTTCTTGGAGACCGTCTGTGTTGATACGGCCCACGATAGGCATTCTAAGTTGGTCACAGTCTCACCCCTCCCCCCAGCTGGTCTTCTAGCAGTTATTTAGGATGGAGAGGAAGCCACACGGCCAGCCATGCCCAGCAAGGAGGCCAAGCCAGGTGCTGTAGGCTGTGCTGCTGGCAGGGTTCTCCAGCCGGTGTGTTACCATCAACCCTGGAAAGTGCTTTAGTGGCCTCATTGCTAGTTTGAAATAGTTTAACAAACAGCGTCAACACATCTATTTTTAAAATAATGGGATTTTTTTTGTTGTTGGTTTGTTTTTTCTTTAATACTCAAAATGATTCATCACAAAATAATGCCTCGGATTGGCTGGAACCATAATGTTACTTGAAAATGGTAAAATACTAAAAAATATTTGTAAAGCTGCAGGAAAAATGGAAAAAAAAAATTAAAATGAAATCGGGTCTCCAGAGGCCAGCCAGCTTACCTGGGTCACTTAGCTGGCACATCCTGGTGCTCACTGTGGAGCTGTAACCTCGTCTTTTCCCATTGTGTCCCGTGTCTTCTTTGGACATGACTAGCAGTTGCCACACAAGTCTCATCAGTGAGGTGTCGTTTAAAGTGAGGGCTTAAGGTCTGGCCAACTAGCTGAATGCATTAAGGCACCTGCTTAGGCAGACACAGAGGCCGGCAGAGGCCGGGGTTTGATCCCCGGCATGCTGTGCCGTCCCCGCCCCCAAGGCACGCTGAGATGATGACTGAGACTGGGTATGGTGGCCAGCACCTATAATCCCAGCTCTTGGGAGGCTGAACACAGGTGGATCACTACGAGTCCAATCTATGTAGTAAGACCTTGTAGACCATGTAGACCCTGTCCTTTAAAAAAAAAAAAAAAATATATATATATATATATATATATATATATATATATATATATATCTCCCCAAAGTGAGGGTTTGAAAACTTGTTTCTCTGTTTTGGTGATTTAATTCCATTGTACAGATTCAGAATAATTTTACTAGGAAAAAAATACAATAGGAAGCTGGTGTCATTCACAGATAAAATCTTCATAGTAGTCTAGAAGGTCCGCTATACAACTATTTCTGTATTTATGGAAACATGAACTTGCAGCCAAGAGGCAGGTGTGTGGGACAGTGTCGAGCCTGAGGAAGGAGTTGTGAACTTGCCATATTCTTGGGAAGTAATTCAGGAAGTGAGAAGAAAAAGGTCTGTCAGTGTCCTTTGCCTGCAGCGAGGTGGCTGCAGGTGCTTTGTGCTGGAAGTGCAGAGGAGACTGTATGATGTGAAGTATGATGGTTCCAGCCCAGACGAACACACGTTTCAGAAGCTTGCTGAAGAGTAGGAGATTGAATTGTGATGTGGATGAATCTGCTGTGTGCCAGGAACATGGCGAGGCAGGGTGAGGGAAATCCCTGAGAAGAAAGACACAGTGCGTCTGGGGCACGGGCCCACCTGGAAGGGCAGCTGCCCCTCTCCTCTGCTCGGGCACTTGTTGCCCTGCTGTTTGTTGTCAGGTTTCTCTGCACAAGCTGTCCATTTGGGCTTTTTATGTGAACTGCCCTAATGTATAAACACTGGCCTAGCTATTGCATTGGGTGTGGGTGTCCTGGAGGTCGAGAGGAGATCTGAGCTAGCAGCAGTTATCCCATCAGCCCGCTGCCTGGCCTTAGCACACAGGGTGCTGTACTGTTTACTTACTGGCTTTATTTAATGCTCAGCATTCATATTAGGGACCACTGCAGAGTCGAGTTGGGTAACTGTGCCGTGACTGTGCCTGGTTTTGCTCAGAAATCTGACTGACCCCATAGGGACAGGGTGGGCCAGGGTTAAAGATGTGATCAGATCCCTGATCTGGCTCACTGCTGGGGCCTTCTTTTCCTTTTAAGCTCTGAATGAAAATATGCTTGGCTGAAATTTGATTTAGTTTTCAGTTACTTATTATTCCTTTAGAAATAAACCAAACACAGAAGTAAGAAGGGTAAGTGCATTCTTCTCCATCAGCTCTTATTGGTGTTTTACAGGCTATTTTGTTCTCATGGCAACGAAGGACTGCACTATTATTGTGTATTTTCTCTAGGATTTTCTTAGAGATGCACATGGGGCTGCTTCTATGAAAACCTGGTTAGCTGGTGCCTTTGCTACAGCAGCGAGTTTCTTCTCTTGGGTCAGCAGGGAAATTGCAGCCCTGATGGGGGTCGGAAGGAGAGAAGGAGCAAGAGCCAGCGTGCACCAAACACAAGAAGGGAGACCAGCTTGAGGTTCTTTGTGCAGGCTGAAGTACCAAACCGTCTGCCAGTGACACCCGATACAGTGACTCTCATTCCAAGGTTACTACCAAACCGTACCACTTTACCCTTCTCCCTCTGCCTTACGCAGAATGTGTACCAGGGAGGAAGTGGAGGCAAACCAGGCTTGGGGTTGGATACAGCTAACTTTCATGGGTGTTTCATGGCAAGGTATCTGGCCTCAAACCCGGAGTCCTTGTGCTTCAGCCTCCTGAAAGGATTCTAGATGTATGCTGCCATGCGGCTGACAGCTAGCAGCTGTTGACTGCCCACTGTTGTGCTGTGGATCTTGCATTTTTTTTTCTTTTTTTTTTTGGAGACAGGGTCTTGCTGTGTAGTTCAGGCTCCTCTTGAACTCACTATATATCCCAGGCTGGCCTCAAACTTGCAGCAGTTATCCTGCCTCCACCTCCCCAGTACTAGAATCATATGGATCTGAAGTGTTCCCTGAAGGCTCCTAGCAGTTGAAGGCTCACTTCCCAGCTGGTGGCGCTGTTGGGGCTGGTGGAGCCCTCAGGGAGGTGGGCCCCCATGGGATGAAGTCCGGTCACTGGGAGGTGCCATTGAGGGGGCCTCGAGGCCCTGGCCCTCCCCCGCCTCTTCCTCCTGGACACCATGAGGTGAGCAGCTTTGCTCAGCCACACACGCCCTGCCGTGACATTCTTTCTCACCACAAGCCCAGAAGCGATGGATCCAGCTGACGAGAACTAAAGCCTCCCAATCATGAGTCTCCCGTTTGCTCCTGGTTATTATCGCGGTGTTGGTCACAGTGTGGAAAACGGTCGTACATGTTTTCCACATGAGGGCCCGGGACCACGCTGACCCTTCTTGTGTTTCTTCCTATTCCATCCTACTAACAGTGCACGCGGCTAGTCTGCCTGTTTTGGGTGGCGTAGACTCTGCAGACAGCGGGGAGGTGGTGTGGCCAGGCTCCCTGGATAGCACTGCACACTGGCTTTCGGGGGCTAGCAGTACACTCAGCAGTAGAAGGAATGTGCCATGTTCTCACAGTTGTCATAATTGAAGATGTTAGAATACAGGTATGTTCTGGAGTATAATTTTAAATTCACATAATTTAAAGACAAAATCAGATATGAAAGAAATTCCTTTACTAGGGCCAGGCCGCTTAGGATGAGCTCCATGCACTGGCTTGCGGCATGCCAGCCTGCCCTCGCTGAGGTTGTGCGGAGGGGGCCTCAGGGTGAACAAGAGGCCACGGGAGAGTCTCTTCATAGAATGGGTTGGGGAATTGGGACTCTCATTAATTTTTTAATTGAAATATGATGTCAGAATGGAAATGGAACATGACTTCTCAGCAAATTAGGATCTGGTAAAGCATGCCTCATTAAAGAGATATTGGCCTGCTTCAGAGCCACATTGTGCTTAATGGTGTGGTTTTGAGGGCCTCGCTGTGCGGGGTGGTGTTTTATTATATTGTATGATCCCTCCTAGGTGTTACTTAGAATATTTTCCTGTCCTCTTTGGTGCTTTTCTCCTTGAAAAGCCAGAGCCTTTTCAAGCCAAGCTACTTCCCCAGTCCTTTTTATTTTTTATTTTAAAACAAGATCTGCTAAGTTGCCCAGGTTGGGCTCAGACTTTCAGTCCTCCTGTTTCGGCCAACCAGCGTGCTGGGATTATAGGCATGTGTCACCATGCTTTGCTTGTTTCGGTTTTTACTTTTTGATCAAATTAGCAAAATGCTCTTATTCACTGAAAGTTGGTCCGTGCTAAGTAAAGTGCTGTGGCTCTGAAGTTCACACACAGTTTTAGTTTCTTCCCAAAACTTTAATATCAGAAAATCCACACTGCCTGGAGTCAGTGTAAGAGCAGCGTCCGGGCTTTGGTGCCTGTCACTTGGGACCTGTCGGTGTTTCCTCAGCAGCCGCTGCTGAGCTCTATGCAGACACAGTCTCTTACGCCTGCTGACCTACCCAAAGTGGTGAGAGGAGCCTGGTGGTTGTAGGAAAAGTCTCCAATTTTAAGGCAAACAAGAATGCTCAGATTGGCCATTGTTCTCCAGGAGCAGGCTGGCCACTTAGATGTCACAGCCAGGGAACTATGGGGGAATTTATCCAGTCCACCAGTGGACTGATTACGGAGTGATATTAAAGAGAAATGTGGTGTATGCTTGGCAGCCAGGCCAAAGCCGTGTGATTTATCATGCCAGATGATCTTTGTTTTTTCTTTCCAGGATCAGAGCTTTTACTGCTTAGGATTATGATGCATGCCTGGATTGGTGGAAAATGACCATCCTTTGCAGATGGCCAAAACGTCATTTCATTTCATTTTAATCCTATTGTGCTAGAGTGAAGCTAGCCAAAACCGTTAAGCCATTTCAGAAATACCTGCACATCCATGTGGGCCTAGGGTCATGTGATGTGAAGATGCCCCTTGGCTTCCTGGACTTTGACCTTCTCCAGCCTTACTCTGCACACTGGCAGCGAAGATCAGTACTTCTCAGCCGGAGTATATTTTGAGCTCCAAGCTGAGGAAGGAGTTTGTTTCTGCAGATTGGCACCTGGCAGGC